AGTGTGATTGATGGGCAGGCAGACTAACAATCCCGGGGAATTGGACTACTGGGAACCAGTTCTCGATTCCCATCCCTCCTTCCAGTTGTGTTAACAGTAATTTTTTTTTTTTTTTTTTAGTTGTCGGTTTTTTTGTTTTTGTTTTTTTTTATTATACAACTCATCATTTGTATCAGGAGTTTGTTGAGTTGCTGTATTTTCAACCTTCATTTCTTCATGTGCAGCTTCCTTGTCCTGTTTTACTGAACGTTTAAAGGGTAAATGGAGTTAAGCAGTTTTCAAATAACCACAATTTTTGTAGACTTTGGGTCATTTTGAATGAACAAAATGTTTTTGCTCAATGTTGACAGAATTCAGAATCTTAAATCTAATTTGAGACATCATAGCTCTTTTTAAAAATGTATTTTTTTCTCTGGAACTTTGCCTTAGATTCTACAGGGAAAGTTTGCCTGTGATGTGGCAGCACATATCTCAGTATCTGACCCACTGGATTTGCTTACAGTCTTTTTTTACTGTTTACTATTACTGAAGAAAACATCACCTAAACCAACATGACTTGAAACAGTAATCACATAGAGATGCAGACTTTGCTGAGTTTTTTGGGACTTGTACACTGAGCAATAGCACTGTGTTTAAACCATAGAACATAATAATTATCATAATAAACTTCCGCAATAAGCTTCTGTTTTTGCGTGAGAATGTGAGATGTGTTGAATCTTACATTCTTTTATGGCTTCACACTGAAGACGGGGTGTTCTTATCTACAAGTCACTAGACACTTCTTGTGACTTGTACACTGAGAAATACCACAGAGCATCATAATAAACTGCTGCTTCACCAGTGTAACTCTGTCTCTTCTAACTAACCTCTGCTTTTGACATATAGACTCACTGGACACTTTATGTGTCCTGAGATGACATTGGCTTTGCCTTTATAACTCCCTTAATTCTTCAACAAGGTCCAAGAAATATTCCTGAGATTATTATTATTATGATAGCATCTTACACTTGCTGCAGATTTGCCAGCTGGAAATCCATGATGTGAATTCCCCACACCACGCAGAACTAATGAGCCAACCACAAGGCATCAACTCATTGCATTTAGACATGTATATATAGTCAAGACAACCTGCTTAAGTTCAAACTGAGCCTCAAAATAAGGAAACCAACTCCCATGCTCCCTGTTTTTCATGAAAAAAAATCCCAAAATGTTGATGCTTGTGGGGAAGAGAATACATGTGTCAAGGCAAATAAGACACTTTTTAAACCATGTGGAGCAGCTCTCACCATTAAAAACATGATAACTTTAGTCAGCTTAGTCAACTTTAGATTTAGTTGTGTTAATGCTGTGAAGCACAAGATTCTTTATTTCGATGTGCGAGACTCTTGTGGTCCTTCATGAAATTAGCACAAAGTATGTGGAAGCGGTTAAAAGCCACAAAAACATGCAGAAGAAACTAGAATAATAAAGAGAAACAGGAACATTATTGTGTGAATGTTACACATCATTTAAATGTAAATTCAAGCTAGCATTCACAAAATAGTGCTCCACACATTTTTTGGCCTTTGACTACTTCCACATACTTTTTGCTATTTTTATGTAGGACCACAAGAGAAATAAAGACTCCTGTGCTAAATAATAATATTGTGTAATATAATGTGCATCTGTAAATTGATTTATGAATG